ACCGGACCTAATGCTTCCGGAAAAAGTGTTTACCTGAAACAGGTGTACAGTTATTTTACTTATGATTTTCGCTGTAATAATCCGATATATCTTTTCGATCTTTGAATATAAGGTAGGGGTTGAAGTTAAGGCTTCTTATGTTAAGTCATGTCGTTATATATGTTACCAGATGAGGTCGAGAGACTAAAATTTGTAATGCTCCTTGCACGTAGAATACATTCATATACAGAGCGTGTGTGTCGAGACAAAAGAATCTGCTCTCATTGCACCCTGCTAGGTAGTAACTGGCCAGAGAATCATCTTATTTCAGAAAACAAATTATCTTACAAGCGAGGTAGATTCAAAACGCTATATTAATATTGCCATCGATGAACCGTTCATGCGTTCGATAAATGAATAAGCAAGTAGCACACAACGCACTAACTCTTTTCCCGTTTCTCAACGTATACTGTCCCTTTTTAGAAACTACCGAAATTAATGAGAGGTAATTGGCAGTATGAATTAGTTATTGGAATACCTCTTCTTTATATAAAATTTGCAGGTAATGCATCATAAAACATATGAACTCAAGTATACTGAGAGGTCGACTTCCTACTTAGTTCTTGACTGGTACAAGGATACCTTTGAAGAGTTCAATGATCATGGCAGTTAATCGTTAGACTGAAAATATTAGCTCATTTGGTGAAATGCCTAATTTGAAATTTTATCATTTCAATGCAATCGGTATATGAGGTGGTTTTTCAACAGGGATGGAAACTAACAAAGGCTATATCAAAAGTGAAAATAAAAAATACTAAACTTTGCACAGTAATAAAATTATTACAGTCAAACTGTAAAGAATTGGCCGACCCGTAGTTTAGGACATCTTAGGACATCAAACAGACTTTCTAATTTTTGTCGTCTAAGCGTTTCTATGCCACACAAGCAGCATCATCAGAGCAGAAGTGATATTGCAGCAACAAGCAACTTTATAAATACAAAAACAGCAAGCGAGAGAAAAATATAACAAATCAAAACTACATTAGAAAATGTGGATGACAGATGAATCACCAATGACGTCAGAACAGATATTCATATCAAGTTCGTGATGGCGCAACAGCCTTCGCCGATGAGGAAGGGGTCATGCGGTTGATGGATCAGGAGTATTCGTTGCACCTTCAATGTTTTTGTATCTAAATGCGAAAAGACTTGTTTATCAGAAGAAGTAGTAGACCCATGCGTACAGAGCCAAGGAAGAGGTACCTTGAAACTTGTGGTCTAAAAAGTCTCTACCACAAGACTTTTGCAGCACTGTAAATGCTTCGATTTAAGACGTTCCATCCAAGAGAGCTCGAAGAAGCGATTAAAT